AGATTAAACAACTTCTCTGAAGACCTACAGCCATTAGCAGCAGAGCCCTGGTTTTAACTCAAGACTGTCTGCCTGTAGAGTTGTTGATTGACCAGGAATGTGATTTAGCATTTAGGCACTGTCATCAATTTCCTTTGTGTGTCTTTCTCCATCTCTCTCTCTTTTTTAATGCTGTAAATGGCTTCTTGCTCTACTATCCCAAAGAAATGTTTTCTGTATCATTTAAGAGGCTTTCTCTGAAGGTTAGAGATATATAGCAAGAGGTATTTCTTATTTCTTAACCATTTAAGAGCAGCAGTGATTTATAGGTGACCTGCAAATTATAAGGAAAAGACTTGGGTTTGTTGTGATATGGTGACACTCTACCACCTGTTGGCCACATAGGGAAGGGAGAAGCATGAGATGAAGGGAGGGTTCATTGGCTGAGAGTCCCTTCCCCAGGCCTTGCCTTCCACTCGGGGACCTTGGCCCTCGTCTGGATGCAGCTCCCAGGAGTCAGGACCCAGCTCTGGCACAGGAGACCTTGGAGGAGCAGGGGCACCAGGGCCTCCAGACCTGTTTCTGATTCCTTCCTGCATCCAGAACACTGTGAGCCTGCCCAAAACACTTGCAACCCCAGCCACTTTTACTGAGAGAAAAGTAGTTTATAAAATGAAGCAAAAGCTTGCAGTTCAGTTTGGGTGGAATATGTTTAGGTTTACTTGTACAAAACTTACCTTCATCAGTGGTTCCTGTCTACTTCTGATTCTCCTTGGCTGAACTTGAAAGTGTAATAGTTAATGCATTATCTAAATCACTGCTTGCCTCAGAGCACACCAGATGTTGGGCAGCAAACTGTGGCTCATTTTCTGAATTTCATAAGACATACAGATCCTGCACCCTAATCAACTTTAAGGAGCCAAACCAGCCTTTGTGTGGTGCTGTTCACGTGGCCTTGATATTTGTCCCCAGACACTGTCATTCTAAAACGTGGCTGTTCCTTCTTTGTTGGCTGCTTTTACAGCTATTTTTTCCTGGCTGGTAGCAAAGAGGAGGGAAAGTCCTGCAGTCGGGGGAGTGGCAGCTTCAGACACTCATGGATAGGACGATGACAGCACCTATAGAGGCCTGTGGGTAAAGGGAAGAGGGAACGAAGAATGGACTACATCTTCAGAATGGACAGACAGCATTTTTCTTGGTATAAGAAGCCTGCCTGCTCATCAGGGTCACATGCAGGGCTCTTAATAGTCCAGGTGTCCAGAGAGAAGGAAAACACTTTTAGGCACTATAACAGCTGTCACTGCACTGAGAATTTTAAGAGCAACATCCTCCTCTGTCTGCTTCTCTTCTTCCTGGCCTGGTCGGGCCCCTCTCCTTAGAGTCCCCAGGGCACAGTGTCTATCCCTGTACCTTCCACTCTATGTCAGCCCCTGGGTGGCTACTACAGCTCCCCTTTCACTGGTAGCGAACATGAGTTCAGTTCTGTTGGCCACCACCTGCTTGGAGGTTGCCCTGGTTTTGCTTGTCCCTTTGGAGTGCACTCTGAATCTGGCTCTCTTTCCTAGCCCCGTCGGTTATTGCCTCTTCCGGGTGCTCTCTCTGGCCTCTTCACCTTCTCTTCAGGAGGTGGCCTGGCATAGAGCTTCCTGCACTCCAGCCCCAGGTCTCTGGTGAGGCCAGGCTCCCAAGGAGATGATGTGTCTCTGCAGGGATGAGCAGACACAGAAGACACCAGACACACTGGTTGCTGCCAGATGACATGTTTGCCTCTGAGACCCCATGTTTCTGGAGGGCAGGGATTTTCCCATCATGCATTACTGATGGGTGCCCAAATCTTGACAGTGGTGAGGGGAGAAAATGGCCATAGTTGCCGGATGGAGATGATTGGTGGCCTCGTGGCTTCCTGTTCCAAAAAGAGTGTCCACGTTCATAGATGAGGGCTAGAGGCATCACTCCCATTGCATGTTTTTCCCTCCAAAGGTCTCTTCTGTACTGCACAGACACTCACAGCTGCCCTGTGACAGAGGCTGGCAGGGCCCGTTCTCACCCAGTTGTCCTGCCATCGCCTCAGACTGAGCTTGTCAGCTGCTCTAACAGGTTCCCCACTCCTGAATGCGCCCAATCTTACCAGCCCCAGGCTCCTGGGTTGTATGTGTGATCCACCCTTGACTCACGCTTCACTTCACGCCAGCTCCCACGGGTCCTCCCAGCTTGTTGTTTGCCAGGTACAAAGTCATCACTGGGCAGAGGGCCCGAGGGTCATTTTTTGTTGTTGTTGTTTTGTTTGTTTCCAAGGCTCATTTTTATGGCCTAACTGTTCCCCACCTTTCGCCTTAGTAATAAGGCCCCAAATAGGGTCAAGCTACTGAACTATGACATCTTTTTCAAATCTGTCATGTTTATACCTGAGGTCACTTGATTTGTTGCTCATCAGTACCCAGACCCCTGAAGTAGTGGGTGTGATTCCCAAGCTCCTCTCATTAATTGCCCTTGTCATGCTTATGTGTGTTCTGTGCAAGGGTTTGACTCATCTTGAGCAACTGGATGCTCCTGCATAATCTTGTCAATCGTTTTGATATTTGCCAACTACATCCTGCCCCTACGCACTTCTCCACCTTTTATGCACTACATCCTCTGCCTGAAATAGCGCTCTTCCCCTTATCTTCTGAGAAAACTACTCATCCTTCAGGACCCAGGGAAATTGTATACCTGCCTTTTTCAGCATGCCTCACACTGTGTCATAATGCTCTGTTCATAGTTTTGTATTCTGCTCTAGACCATGTGGCCCATGTGGACAGAGACTAGGTCTGATTTATCAATATCCCCCAGTGCCCAGCACAGCAGGCAGGACTCAGGGAGTCCTGGCTGCATGAATCCATCCATTTTTCACAAGTGTTTACTCAAACTTCCTTGTGTCAGGCACTCTGCTAGGCATTGGACACATAGGGGTGAACCGGCAGATAGGGTCCCCTGCCTCCATGGAAAGGTTAGCAGGGCCGGTTATCAAGGAAACAAATACATGGACAAGATCCTTTGTAACTGCTGTGCTTTCCAGGGGCTGCTTTAGATGGAGTTGTGCAAGGGAGTCCTCTCAATGTACTCCATAGCTGAGACCTGCAGGATGAGAATAAGTCAGTGGTTCAAATTGCTGAGAAAGTGAACTCAGGGCAGAGGGGACAGCAGGTGTAAACTTGGACTGGAGACCAAAGCACAAGGAGCCATCCTGCCACACCTCTTTGGTAGATCACAGGAAAGAGTTTGGATTTTCTCCCGGGAGCAGTGGGAAGTCCTGAAGGGAAGGATTTTTACTATCCCAGGTGGCTGAATAGGTGTGAAGGTGCTGAAGATTGCCCTGCTTCCACTGCATGCCTTTTCCTGCTGCCTCTTTTTTTGTCCCCACCCAGGCTTGCTTCCTTCCATTCAGACCCTGAGCTGTGCACACTGTGTTTGCTCTGTGGGCACCTGGGCTGCTCTGCTTACCGTGGATCAGCTCTGTTCCTTGTTGTAGGCTTGCCTGGCTCCCGCCCTGGTGCTGAGGTGCCAGCGAGGCTCTGCCCCTCTGCAAGATCCCTTCTCATTCCCCTGAGCCTTGTGCTTCTAGGCTGAGAGGCCCCCACTGCCACTTTCGCTTATAAGTGGCACAATGTGCCCTACCTAAGGCGGCTGTGGGCCACTGTCATGAGGAGAGTACTGTCCCAGGAATCAGGAGCACTGCCTCTTAGAATTTTAGTTCTACTCGACCCAGCACCATTCAAGGTGCAGACTCCCATATTCTGAGGGCTGGAGAGCCTCTTGAAGCATTCACAGTCCAGCCACTCCCTTAATGCTGAGCCTCCCTTCTAATGGGAGAGATGGTAATCAGTTCTGTCTCCAGACCACTCTAAGAACTATCTAAACTGTCTTCTTGTGGCCTCTTTCATTTTTCCTGCATCCCCCCACTCCCTGGGTGGCAGCATTTTTGTAAACCTAAGACGAGACTTAGCTCATGTCTGTGAAGTAGAGGCAGGAGTTGTTGTTTGCACATTCAGCAAAACCTATGTGTGTGCACAACAGACATGTACGCTGTGGAGACCAGAGGCGTGGCTCCCATACCCAAGGACAGTGCAGGTCAAGAAACAAGGTGCTAAGCGTCTCTGCTGTGACATCAGGCCTTTGCAGTGAGGAGGAGAAAGTGAGCAGCCACAGAAAAGTGTCTTTGGAGAGGGCGTGGATAAGAATGTTAGAACTCACAGAACCACGCTGGGCTGAACCAGTCAGTAGCAGTAAAATAGCCAGGGTTTGACCCAGTTCTTCCACTTACTGTGTGGCCTCTGAGCCTCAGTATCCTTCTCTGGGAAATGGGGATAATAACATCACCTAACTCACAGGACTGATGTCACAGTTAAGTGACTAATTAATATTTCACAGAAAATGCTTAGTACAATCCCTTGCACATTAAGGGGTCAATATATGTTAGCTTTTTTTTTTTTTTTTTAAGTGAGAAGATAACCTCAGGGCGTATTTGTGCCAGGCTATTTCAGAGGATGAGAGACTTTAAACTAAACTAAGGGAGGGAGAACCCAGATAACCCCAAGAGGCTGGTTCCTTTGGAGGAGGTAGGCATGGTGAGAAAAGATAAGCAAGCATGTGAGTGGTGGGGGAGGGCAGTGATTTATGGGTGCAAAGGCCAGGGAAGGCTCAGACACAGGCACTGAGCCTCAGCAGTCCTGGAAGCGCGAGGCTCAGGGGAATGTGAACGGGAGCTTGAACAGTGGCAATCTGTCTCGCCGCTACAGGTGACTCTGGAGAGCCCAGTGGCTTTTCATTGCAGAAGCAAATGGCATCATGTGCTAGGGATTCGTGGAAAAAGAGCACTCATGGCTGGAGGGGGAGGCCACAGAGATGGCAGGAACCACAGGCCAGCCACCAGGATTCTTAGGAGAGTGCACTGTACAACAAGGGAATGAGAGGGCTTTGCAATCTTGTATGCGTCATGTGGGACGCTCTGTAATTTTTCCTTTGTTCTTTATTTGAATTTTCAGTAAGAGAAGGAGGAGACTGAGCCTGGAGAAGGAGTCATGGCTTCTGAGGCCAGCCATGCACTGGAAGCTGCCCTGGAGCAGATGGACGGGATCATCGCAGGTGCGGTCAGGGGTGCTGGTGACTGACGGCTTGTCCTGCTAGCCGCGGGGACTGCTTGCTTTCAATTCACTTTTCTTTGCAGCCCAGAGAGGACCTCCTTGTTAGAGATGTTGTATTTTATTGTGCATGCCATTTCTTTTTTGAAGGGTACAAACTTCTAGAACTCTGATGTCTGGTGTGAGTGTGGGTCTCCGTTGAGACAGGGCAGATGTACCGTATATCAGCATGCATATAACTGTGTCATGGTTTAGATCCTGGCTGCAAGGCAGTTTAGGTGCAATGAGATTGATCTTAAAAATTCTTCAGGGCACATCCTGGCTTCCTACAGTCGAGCTGTACCTTGAAGTCCAGCTGACTTTGCCACCTAACACTGGTGTCAGCTCACCTCCCCAGCTGGTCTCCAGTGTGTTTGGGAGTCGGGAGGCAGTTTTGTATTGTTTCACTGCATCACCCAGAGAGCGTTCTTTATGCCATATTGTTTTCTATCCATCGCAACTGCTTGGTTTCAAGTTTGCATTAGCCAGTTAGAACCATTTTTTGGAAAGATCCAGCAAAACTGATTAGGAAAGGGCTGCCAGTGGGCTGTTCCAGCCGATTAACTCCTTGATAGTAGCACCTGAGCCCATATTGGTTAGAACAAACCTGTCATTGAAAATCTTTCCCAAAGGGCTCAGGTCTTCTTTCTGTCCTCACCTGAGGCAGGTCAGTGGCCTTGTTTGCTGACTTGGGGTGCTTCTTTGGGGCTTTGCTCCTTGTTGTGTGGAGCTATGGCTGGAGGAGGAAGGCTTGGGCTGAGTGTGCTTGGAGCCCAGAACATGCACAGGTACCCGACACTGTCCCCTTTCAGGCATTTACTTTTCCCTCATTCTTCAGAGACACATCTGCCTCACTGAGGGTTCTGAGTGTTTGCGCCTGGGATGGGGAGATGTTGAAGCTTCTTCATGTTATTGGTGGCACTGTGACATGTTCTAGCTGTCACCTGTCAGGCACTTCATTTCTCAGGGAACGCAAAGGCCCCTTATGAGGCTGTGACTAATGCCCCACTTTCCACAGGCACCACAAGTTGGGATGTCCTGTTCTAGATTAGGGCCCCTGAAATCCTACTGAGAGGAAACAGCCCAGAGTGTAGATTTACTAGCAAACTTTTCAGACTAGCAAAGTCTCATCTGGGCACTCCCGGGAGCTCATGTGCATGGAAATCAGACCCTTAGACTGGCTCAGGTTGTCAGCACTGCTGAGCCCTCAGCCAGGAGCAAGGAGGAGACTCTGGGAGAGCCCCTGGCAGGGCACAGAGCTCTCGGATGGTGGTGAGAGGTGAATGAGACTCCTCCCGAAGAAGGCAGGCTGTGTGGGCTTGGTCCCTCTTCCTGCTTCCTAACTTCTCCACAAGGGCATTCCAAAAACGACAAAGCCTCTGGCAGAATCCCCTCTGTCTCAGAGAGGATTCTGTGGCTGGATCCTCAGGTCCTTGCCTCAGTTCAGGATCTTCAGGTGAAGACCTGGGGTGGGTGTAGAGGAAGGGGCCTTCTGGCTCTTCCAGCACAACATGCTCCTTCCTTCTTCCATTTCCTCAGCCCTTCATCCTGGCAGGTTGTTTCTGGAAGGGCCTCCTGGGCGATCTGTCAGGAACAGGTGTCGGTTTGGTAAGTGGTGGTCCAAGACATTCTTTGCAGGTCAGTCAGGAGGAGCACCTACAGCCAGACTGCTTAGTTTAAACTCTAACTCCACAAATCCTACAACAAGCAACTCGTATGATCTGTTTCTTGGTTTCCTCTTGTTTATTTATTTATTATTGATTTTAGAGACAGAGAGGATGGGGGAGAGAGAGAGGGAGAGAAACATCAATTTGCTCTTCTACTTATTTATGCATTCATTGCTTGATTCTTGTGTGTGCCTGACTGGGGATTGAACCTACAACCTTGGTGTACTAGAACAATGCTCTAACCAACTGAGCTCTAGCTACGGCAGTTTCCTCATATTGAACATGGGAACAGTAACAGTACCCACCATAGAGGGTGCTATGCTTACACATGTAAGGTGCTTAGAACAGTGCCTGGCATATAGCACTATAACACGTTAGCTCTTGATAAATTAATGAGAGACAAAAAATTCTTTATCATGTGAAGTCTTCTCTAGAGACAGAGTAGAGTTTTCATTTATTAAGGCCCTTATTTGACCCAATGGAATTTTGAGGTTTTCATTGTATGGGGTTTGAACTTGCCTCAGTAGGCTCATCCAGGGTCTACAAGATTAATGCATAGTCTTCTGAGCAGTCCTTGCTCTGTTCTTGCCCTCTTGTACACTGTCGTCCACAGTGTAATCCTTAAAACATAAGTCACATCACTCTCCTCCCCAAAATTCTTCAATGGCTTCTCATCGTAGGGTAAAATGTAAAGTTGCCATAGCCAGCAATGCCCTGTGTGATCTGGCCTTAGGCTGCCTTCATGGCTGCATCTCCTACCACTTCCCCTCTGGCTTATCTCACATTAGCAGGGAGCACTGACTGCCTCTGGGCCTTTGTGTCTGCTGTCTCCTCTGCTGGAATGCTATCTCCTGGTACACTCCTATCCGTATCTGCTGAAACATCACCAGAGCAGAGAGGCCTCCCATGACACCTCTCCCACATCACTCTCTGTCCACATGTCCTGTTTGTAACTCTTTATAGCACTTACCACTGCCTGGCCAATGACATTCGTTTTTGTCTCCTTGTGTATTATCTGCCTCCTGCACCAGAATGTGAGTTCCATGAGGACAGAGGCTTTGCCGCTCCATCTCTGATGCCTCAGTTGGTCTGCAGCACGTAAACATTTGTTTCGTAGACATTTATCACATGTGTGGAATATGTTTTATTTACTTTGGTGAATAGGTTCTCCTTTTCATGGGATAGAAGGCAGCTAGTGGTTTCTGTACATATCCTCTACTGACTGCACACTGAACTTCATTTATTATTTTTCTGTTAGTGCCTTTGTTTGGCTGATTCTTTTGGAATAGCAAACCACTAACTTTTTATGTTTTTGAAGGCTCTGTGGCTGGCACATCCTATGAACCATCTCTTAAGTAGTAACTGGCTCGTTGATAGGCGCTATTTGACAGAGGACTCGACACAGGTTATCAGTGAGCGTCGGGAGGGCGGATGATCTATGTCATTCACTATCAAAAGAACGATAATTATTGAATGCCTTTGTGCCGGAGACTTTGCTGCAAGATTGTTAATGTCATCCTCACTTTCAAGATGGTTGGGCTGAACTGGGCCAGAGAGTTTAGGAATTTTAATGGTTGTTAATGCAGACTGTTGGGGATTGAATCCCTGCTCAGCCACTTACCCTGGCTGTGGGATCTCTGGGCAAATTGCTCAAATTCTGTGAGCCTCAGTTTCCTTATATATAAAAGTGGTAATAACAGTATCAGTCTCATATTATTGGGATGATTAAATTAATGCAAATAAGGCACTTAGTAAGTGCTCAATTGGTGTAAGTTATTGCTTATTTTGTTGATATCGCTGTTGACTTTATTATTTTTGCCACCCAAAATCATAGTGCTAGTAAATTGCAGAACCAAGATTTGAGTCCAGAGCTATCTGAGTCTCTTCTGGGCTGCTTTTATTCCTGTGCTAGTTTTATGATGGTGTGTAGTTGGGCCTGGAGGCTCTGTGGGGCTGTCTGTAGGAGGAAAGAATTCACTGGGAGCAAGAGCCAGTTGTTTTGCGTAAAGTCACCCTTACCTAGAGTGACTTTGCTCTTATCTCTCTTACACATTAGACTTTCAAGTAAGGCTTCCTTTGCTTAAAGAGTGGCACAATTAAAAGAAAGTTTCAAACTGTTGCACCACATCATGACATCAAAGATCCTGCAGAAATAACATTTTTTGTGTGAACATTTAAATCCTCCTTTCTTTATTTCAATTCTCTTATTAATTTGAAGTCAAACAATATCAAGTAGTGCCAACACTACCAAAACACCATTGTTTTTGCATCTGTTAAAGCTCTCAAATGAGTACCCACAGACTATATTCTCTCACCTATGAAAATACAATTATCACTTACTTCAATGGAAGAAAATGTTATGGGCTTCCTGCACACCCCAACCCCCAAATAGCAACCATTATGCAAAAACAATATTGATTCCTACTAAAAAAGACACAGTTCCTTCAATAATGATTATTCATAATTGTAACACTACATGACAAGGATTTTCCTATAGTGTGATAGGTTACTGTTAGCTTCCCAAAAAGAGTACACTTAGAGTGTGTGATATCAGTGTTGATGTAATTAAGCATTTAATTTTTTAAAAAGTGTCCTTTTCCTCCAATCAATGCACACAGCACGGGAGATTATCACTCCCATGAACATCCAGGCCAGGAATATTCTGAGGATATCCTGATGCTCAAGTGCCAAATATGTTCTTCCTGAGGCATAGTGTGGCGACCCTCATCTCAGGTACTCAGAGGCTCTGGAGGCGTGTGGAAAAGAAATGCCTTGTAAGCAGAAATAGGGCCATTACATGAAACTTTCTTGAATTCTTTTTTTAAAAATATCTTATTTATTTTTAGACAGAGGGGAAGGGAAGGAGAAAGAGAGGGAGAAAAACATTAATGTGTGGTTGTTTCTCTCACGCCCCCTACTGGGGACCTGATTTACAACCCAGGCATGAGCCCTGACTGGCAATGGAACCAGCAACCCTTTGGTTCCCAGGCTGGTGCTCAATCCACTGAGCCACACCAACCAGGGCAACTTTCTTCAATTCTTGAAGCCTACATTGGTATATCTTGGCTGTGACTACTTGTTTGGAACCCTGGAATTCTATGCCAGAAAATTGGGAAGAGATGACTGTTAAAGACTCCAGGACCCTTGTCAAAATGATTTATTTTTAGTACAAAAGACAATTGTAGCTTCCGGTATGTATTAACTTTTGATCTGATCTTCCTTTCGATTAGTCTGTTTGATGTACCTGCAAATAATACTATAATTGAATTACAGGGTTGACAATTGAATTTGAACTCCA